CACATAAGTGCTGGTTTGTATTGAAAATGAAGCATACTATGGTGGAACATAAATCACACTGATGGATCAAACCATTTTCTTGCAACATAGGGCTTGTCTACATCTGAGCGTTATTTCACTATTAATTAGACCAGACTAGTTCACACCAACATATTTGATTTTGTATATGAGAGCAACCTCAGACCACCATGCCAGTAGGCTTCTCTTTTGTCTGTCCCAGCCTTCAACCTTGTTGATTCTGTTATGCCAGATGCTGTATGCAGAACTTATTTTTTAAAAATAAAAATCTCTGCCCCCAAAATGTGCAAAACCAGAGCCAGGAAGTTGTAAATTTGCTTGTTTAGTGTTCTGGTTTTGTGCAAATCTGAGGGATCTAAACAATTTATATCTAAATATCTTAAAGCCCTTAAATTCGCAGCACACTTAAAAGAAAATTTTAGTGTAGATTGCTTGTGCAGTTTTTATTTTTATTTTGTGCAAATCTCAAGGATCGGGGCGGGGGGGGCAATTATTCCATTCAGGAGCACACCAGATGTAGTTACAAGCACAGCTAAAGAAGAAACTGAAGCATTCAAGAAGTAGCAAACATGGAAAGGGGAGTAGCAGAGTGACAATTGACCCACCAACTAGAAACACCCAAACAAATTTGGAACTCCAAGGGGAAGTGGTTTTAAGGATTAAGTGGGTTACTGTAAATTACTTTATTAGTAAAACACAGGCCCTCCCCACATTCAGTCCTCAACATACCGTATATTTGAGGGAATGTGACCCTCAAGAGAAAAGAGGTTGCCTACCTCTAATTTTTATGTGAAATGGGAACCATGTTGCAGATTGGTATTAGAGTTTGTTCCTACCTCTAAAAATATAAATATTAGGCAGGCACCCTCACTATATACTGTTTTAGATGCCTATTTAAAAAATCATTTCAAGATTTTTCAATATTCATTTCTCACAGTGACCCAAAGTAACCAATTAAGAACATCAAATAAAAATCTAAAAATATATAGCAATCCAGATAAAAGACAGGACTCCTGAACCACTAAGAGAGGCCACAGTGCCACCCTTCAAATTTAAGGCCCAAAGTTCATGTAAAAAGGAGTGTCACTACATGGTGGCTGAAAAATTCATAAAGAGGGTGTCAGGCATGCCTCCCCGATGAAAGCATTCCACAGGCCACCATCAAAAGGGCCTCCAAAGCTCCTGTTGAGATGGCACATGAAGAAGGGCCTCAGATTCATAGAATTGTCAAGTTGGAAGGGACCCTGAGGATCATCTAGTCCAGTGTTTCCCAACCTTGTGCCTCCAGCTGTTTTTGAACTACAACTCCCATCATCCCTGACTAGCAAGACCAGTGGCAAGGGATGATGGGAATTGTAGTCCAAAAACAGCTGGAGGCACAAGGTTGGGAAACACTGAGTCTTCTAGTCCAACCCCCTTAAAGTGGCAGAGCAAGCCAATCGGGGCGGCACAGGTGCCGTGTGCCCAGGAGCAGGGCCAGCCAGGGAACGATGCTCTGAGGAGTCTGCCTGTCTCCTCCCACTCAGCCGCCCTACAGCGGAGGGGGAGGCAGGGGGTGGACCATTTGGGGCAGCACGAAGCCTGTAGGCACCCAAGCCACCGCGTCACTCCCAGGGCACACGTGTAGTTTGGGCATGCTGCATGCCCCGCGGTGAGTGCAGCCCGCTATTTTGTCACACACACCCCTCAGTGATGACACCTGGGGCAGCCCGCCCCCACCACACTCCCCTTCTTCTTCGTCTGCCCCTGCCCCCTTACAATGCAGGAATATGCAGCTATCCCATATGGGGATCAAACCTGCAACCATAGTGTTATCAGCACCATGCGGTTAGCTCAGTTATTACCATAAAGCTTAGTTAGAAAGATGATCACATGATCCAGATTGGTTCATAAGGTAAGACACAGCCCCTGGGGTCCTGTGTCACATGAGCATTTAAAGGCAAAACCACAACCCAAAAAAACCACCCAGCACTTTTGAGTCCAGAAGCTAATTGGTAGTCAGTGCAGTCATGCCAGAATTTGTGTTATGTATTGACTGCCCTGCCCTGGTCAACAATCTGGTTGCTGAATTCTACACTAGCTGCATCTTAGCTATTGATCCTTGTTTTTAATATTTTTAGACTTCAGCTATTATAGTAGTAATTGTTTTATTTAATTTCAGAAGAGGGGTTTTTTTTGATGAAGCAGTTTCTATTGTTTTTCTGAAGTAAGGAAGTTGGAAGGCTACAATAGGAATCATTCTCTATGTGCTAGTTTTCTTTCGGTAATCCTTCTAAAGGACATTGCAGAAGGCATCTAAATAGGCGTGAAATCTTATGTTTACAAAAGGCTAAGCAGATTGGTGGGAGAAATTTCAGCATCTGCTGCTGCCAAAATTCATATATAAACCATCATTGTTCCCCAAATGACTCAATTTTCTCTTTTCTCACAATTTGAAGCCAGTTTTCACATTTATATGTAGCTTAAGGTAAAGGGTATATGCAGCTTAATTGGCCTTTAAAAAAACCAAAAACCATGGAGATTTAGGGATGTTGGGGAGGGGGAGATACAGACAGATAAAAATGTGTTTGTTTACAAGCACTAGACGCAATCATTCCAAAAGCAGTTTGTGGTTTCTTGAAATGCCAGTCAGGAAGACGGTTTTACTGCCTCTCCATCCACCATCCCTAATTTAATTATCTTGTGAGAGCTGCAAAAAAAAAAGGGGGGGAGGAGTCATAACGCATCACATGCCACTTTCCCCCTTTATTGGCCCTGTATCTTTTTCTCCACCACACCCTCACTGCACAGAATCATTTTGACAACCATCAGTATAGTAGAGGCATGAGGAACCTATTATCCTCTGGATCTTGTTGGGCCATGGCTAGCATAGCCCATGCTCAGGGGTGGGGATTCTAGTCCAGACATTTGAAGGGACACAGACAGGTCCCCCATCCCTGATACAGTACAATGCTTAAAGACCTGTGCTTCAAGTTGCTACAAGCCACCTTCATTGCTATTTCAAACACCCTAGTGCAGCCATAGGCCAACTCCAGCCCTCCAGATGTTTGGGACTACAATTCCCATCATCCCTGACCACTGGTCCTGTTAGCTAGAGATGATGGGAATTGTAGTCCCATAGGTTTGGAGGGCTGGAGTTTGCCTATGCCTGCACTAGTGGAAGCTGTACAAGGCAAATCTACAACTGCGCTCATCTTTCTGTGATACATCTTCAGGAGTTTGTGGTTTAGCACCAAATTTGAAATGACAATCGAGAAGTAAAATTCCTCAAGTGTAAGGGGTTAACCTCTTTACCTTTACTCACTACTTCAAAATAGTTCTCACATTGAGCTAGGAACTTTATCACTCTTTGCCCACTGTAATTTTACAACTTTCAACCAACGCTGAAGACGCACCTTTTAACCCTGGCCTTTTAGTAACCAATTTGCTTTAAGGGTTTTTAATTTTCAATTGTGCTAACCCGCCCTTGGACCTGCCACTGAAAGAGAAGTAGCAACTTTACTGCTAATAATCATACCACCAATAATAAAATTCTTGCAGAATTTTAGCAGAATTTAGTGGTTGCAGAATTTTAGCAGGGATATTAACCTTTAACAGCTCATTGTCTCCCATCATTCAGTAATGTCATCTTTTCTGTTGTGCTTGCCTCCAATTTCATCCAAGATCCTAGAAAGTTTCACCTTTTCCCATGATCCTGAGGAACATTTAGCTCCATAGCCCAGGCAGCAAAGGTATTTGTACCTTTCCCCCCATCCAAAAGTCTGGGAAGTTCAAGTATACAGTGGTGCCTCGCAAGACGAAATTAATCCGTTCCGCGAGTCTCTTCGTCTTGCGGTTTTTTCGTCTTGCGAAGCACGGCTATTAGCGGCTTAGCGGCTATTAACGGCTTAGCGGCTTTAAGAAAAAGGGAACAAACTCGCAAGAACTCGCAAGCCCATAGGGAAATTCGTCTTGCGGAACGACTCAAAAAACGGAAAACCCTTTCATCTAGCGAGTTTTTCGTCTTGCGGGGCACCACTGTATTTGAATGAAACATCACCAGGCATAATTGTTCTTCGCCTAATTAGAAGCAAAGCATATACTGAAGTAATTGTGGTGTGAGCATCTCTGCATTTTTCCTAGGCTAGCTGTGTTCTAATCTATATTAAGCAAGGGTTGTGGACCCCATTTGCTCCCTGTTCCAATGGGTCCAGGAATTATGGCAGTTTTCATCCAATGGACCAATGACCAATGGGTCCAGGAATTATGGCAGTTTTCATCCAAGAAGCGCTGTAGGTCCACAGGTTCCTGAACACAGTTTTAAGGCATAGCTAAAAGGTAAAGGGATCCTTGACCATTAGGTCCAGTCGCAGACAACTCTGGGGTTGCAGTGCTCATCTCGCTTTATTGGCCAAGGGAGCCGGCATGCAGCTTCCGGGTCATGTGTCCAGCATGACTAAGCCACTTCTGGCGAACCAGAGCAGCGCACGGAAACGCCGTTTACCTTCCCGCCGGAGCAGTACCTATTTATCTACTTGCACTTTGATGTGCTTTCAAACTGTTGGCAGGAGCAAGGACCCAGCAACGGGAGCTCACCCTGTCGCGGGTATTCGAACCGCTGACCTTCTGATTGGCAAGCCCTAGGCTCTGTGGTTTAACCCACAGTGCCACCTGCGCCCCAAGGCATAGCTAGGTAAAGTACATTTTGTAAAAAGAAAAAGAGGGTGTATTAGGGAAATGGTACAGGAGTACAAATTTCTACATTTTGAACAGGAAGGACACCTGCATGAGGCTGGACTGGATATTTCACACACTAGGTTTTGAGGCTTCACTCGCTGTGGAGAGTGCAGTCGACCACAGTCTCAAGGACTTGGAATATATGCAAGTTTCAATAAGCACAGGAACAGTGAGAGTCTCTAATGTCCGAGTAAGAATATAGGCTTACTCCAGCTCTATTTCGGTCACATTGACACTTTTAAGGTCCAATTACATACATGCCAGCATAACCCTGAAAACATAAGTTTATTGGTTAAAGCTAAACAGCAGTAAAACAAAATGCCATCCACCTAAATAAAAAAATTCACATATTTACAAAGTTTGGTAAATGTATAAATTCTTCACATGCCGAGATTAATGCACAGATTAAAAAGTTGATAGTGGTTTTTGATGTCGAAATGCTGAAAGCTGTGAAGTATGCACAAAAAAAGAACCCACACTGAATTCAGCAACAGGCCAGTTTCTTTAACAGTAATTTGATTCTCAGAAGAAGAAGAAAAGTTGACACATTCTAGTTCAGCTTCCTTATTTTTAGGCACAAGCAGAGTTTCTCTAGTTAAGTGTAGCAGTCTGTAGTCAACTACAATAGCAAGTGATTGACCTCGTCTCTACAGCACCAACAATACAGGATTTATAGAAGCACATATGAAGTTAAAAATGCAAAAAAGCTCAATTTGCTAATGGAAGCAATAGTTGTGTCTGTGCAACAGTGCAGCAAGTTTGTATGGGAACAGTAAGGCCATGGCAGTATAAAGCAAAACTGGCTGTTGTGGGGCACATTTGTGTGTTAAGTCAACTTGGTCCAATTGCTGTTGCAAAGCTGCTGTAACTTTTTAATGAGTATTCATACATTCTGCCTGTGATGCACACATATTCGGCTATTGCGGCTAATGTATGATCCCATGTTACTTTTCCCCCAGACCACCTGATAGCACTGTGGAGTCTTTTACAAACTCCATGTGATACTGTAAAGGCATGGCCTGTGGCCTTTTGGCATAGAGCCTTTGAAAGTAAGTAACACAGGAATGCCAGTAGAAGACGAGAAGAGTTTTGCCATACATGCAGATTAGCAAAGGCATACTATACCATGGCTGATCGCAGTACTTGGGGGGTTCCAGTATGAAATATCTGTCCTTTGAGAAACCATTTTGTCCTTGAAAGACATATTATGAACGTGCCCTTAAATGTACCAAACCTGTGTTAACATGGACTCTGAAAAGTGCAACATCCAAGTACATGCAGGTGCTGCTTAAAAAAAACAAACGAAACAATGGGGGGCAACACAAGCAGGTGTATCATATATTTGTATGCATACAGTGGGCTACATCGACATTGTATGAAGAAAACCAGCCTTAACAAGTCTGTCCCTTTAAATATTGACATTGCCAAGAAGGTAAAGCTACAAAAGTAGTGTTACAGTTTGATTCATACACCTCTATGCTGTGTAGAAGCTAACCAAGAAACAGGATCAGTTCATTGATTCTCTTGTGCTTCAAGACACCATTCAACATTTCTTAGCCTGTGGACTTTTACACATGATTACACACCGAGAAAGCAGGCAAATCTAGAGTTGTCACAATAGCCTAGGCATTTCCTAGCACCAAGTGCAACTGTGCTCAATTATTCCATTAAGAGGACAAGCCAGATAACGACACGATTATTTTGTGCTGGGAGTCTGACACCATTAGGGTGCCATGCAGACTTTGCAAAGCATTTTGAGGAACAAGGTGTGATTGTTCAGTCTCGTCCGAGGTTCCCAGGTTCGTTTGACTTGCTTGTGTGTTCAAACACTTGAAAGCTTTATTTCAAAAGTACTCTATTCCCCTTAAGAATTTCAGCATATAAAGTCATTAGCAATGACCTGCACAGATACAAAAGTTGACAATTGGACATTTCATTCATTAGAATGAAGGAAGTTTGGAGAAACCCAAGGTAATTTAGTGATTTAATATCTAGTGCCTGGCACTTTCCATTGCAAACCATTTTACAATACATATCACACATGCATCTGAGAGAAAAAAGTTAGTATCCCATTTAAACAGTGTTTGAAAAGCTTTATAAGCACAATAAAGTGGTGCTAGAATCTTTGTGCTGCCCTGTGTCAGCATCTTCAACGAGCCACTAAATATAAGAATTAAATAAGTTTGTTGATAATCAAATATAAAAACCTGGCTCAGGAAGACCAGAGCAGAAACACACTGATTTAATGATAGCCTTTGAGAGGGGAGAAGCACCCACTGCCACTGCTTAGATGAACTAAGAAAAAACATTTGCACGACTCATGACAACTCTAGCCAATTTTTATGACAGAAGTAGGAATATAAGTCTTCAGCAGTGCACATGGAGGCATGAACTGTGAAAAAAGGCAATTCCTTGGATACAGGAGGACTATCCTGAATAACATTTCATCATGGAAGGAGCAGACAAATCAGACTATGGCCAACTGAGGGTGTTATCGGTGATATTTCAGCTTCTTCTGGACTTTGAATGCTGAATAAGCCACTGAAGTGTGATATCTAGAAGAAAAAGAAACAGTTGTCATTTATCTTAGATATTCTACTTCCTGCAGTTGAACATCCAATCTAAAAAGGAGATTACACTTATCTACACAGATTTATATTCAAAAAGGTTAGACTAGGGTCTACATGTAAGTAATAATTTCCTTTTCCAGATTTGGGTGTGGGGAGACCATAGGAAAATAGCAGGCAGGTGTTCCAGTAATGATCCACTTACAGAAATACCTCATAGGGCTGCCAGGCTCCAGGACCCAGGCATCTTGGCAAAAGTTTTTTGGATAGGTTTCGGGGCAAACTATTACTACCTGTCCTTTCAAAAAGTGCTAAATAATAGGCAGGCAACAGTTGGCACCAAAGTCACATTAAGAAAGGGAAACCTAATTAGGACAGAGGTGGATACTTAAAAGAAAAAATGAGCATGTACACTATGCTCTGCACAGCAATAAGTTTAGCTATATAAATGCTGTGTACATACACAAACCTGTTAAGTCACACAACCATGAAGAACATTGTAGGCACAGTCTATGCTATATATTCAGTCAGTTATAGACCTATAAACAACAAACTAAATGAAATTCTACAAGGGCCAGTGCTTGGAATGAACTAGTTTGGTTTAATGAAGTCCACTGAATTAGTTCAAAAATCTCTGAACTACACCTGAAAGTTGTTCCCATAATCACCAGGCTGAATGTGAATTAATTTTTTTTGGAAGCGCAGCTTTGAACTGATTCTAGTTCATCTTCAAGTTCATTTTCTTACACGTGCTTCTTGCCTCTTTCTTTGGGCCTTTAAGCTTGAAGATCATAATTGTTGGGGAAAGCTAGTCACATTGCTGTGTGTGCATATTTTGATGTTTTCTTCTTAAATAACTTTTATACTTCAGCACACCAGCTTTTAACATTCTGAATGCTGGAAAAAATGCCAAGGATAGTTTGGATGAACTTGAACTGAAACAGACAGTTTTGTAAAGCGATGAACATGAACTGGAATTAGTTCCTTTAAAAAATGAACTTTCCTAGTCCTGATTAGGGCCATATATTTTGCAGGAGGGACAGAAAGCAACTAGCCTAGTAACACATGGCAGACACAAATAAAATCAAGAGTTAATTTTAAAAACTAGAATCTAAAGGATGGCATGTGTAATAAGCAGAGTATTAGGTCAAACAAAATGCCAATTGTCAACTCCAAATCCTTTAGTGATGGCAAGTTGACCCGGAAAAGCCATTCCCTGAATGGAAGCCATCAGTCACAAAGCCACACCACTCTCCCCCGCCACCCTTTTACGGAGAGATAGCCTGTAGGTGGTTCAAAAATGTATCAAACAGGACTTACAAACTGAAACCAAGAACCACCCTCTGAAATGGACCTGAAGCTTCAAGAGAAGCAGGCTTTGGTTTGGAGTCGGTCCAAATCTATCCAAAGCACGTTGGCTTTACTAGACTATATTGCTTAACAGATTTCAGTCTTATTCACATTTTAAGTGAACTGTTTGTGATCAGCCTGTTTTTCCTTGTCTTTATACGTAGTTTTCCAGTTACCCAGGTGCTGCCATAGACCAATTCCACCGCTCTGGGCAGAAGAAAAGACGGAACAGAAACATTTGCAGCACACTGTCAGTTCAAGGGTATTCAAGGAAAGACACCTTATAGAGAGTAAACTCAGAGTTCCCATATTTTAGCTCAGAAGTGTGACCTGCCACTTTCACTTTTATGAAACCATATGTCAGTTAATTACACAGTTCTGAATTTATAAAAAATGCTAGTATATGTGTTGGCATGAACTGCTAAATGTCTGAAAGGATGCATGCAGTTTTGCAAGAACAGCCTTTATGAATCCAATTTGTGCACCCAGTGGAAGTTAGCACCTATGCATTTTAATTACCTATATTGTCCTTTTCTTTGCAGGAAATGGAGTAGCAGCAGATTTCTCTGTCTTGAATAGCAGCCAGGTTCCTGGAAGAGAAGCAGCACAGGAACACATTGGTGATAATCCCTAATTGTAATTAATAGGAATATTTCTAAGGTAACCCACTGGAAAGCCATCATACCACTATTCCTAAGAATCACATTACAATATGAAACTAGTCTCTTAGACAACACCCCTCTTACCATAACAAGTTTAATTTTGAACACAGCAAGTCAGCACAGAGCATCTTATCATATAATTACTTAGTCACTTACATTTTTTCAATAAGTTGCTTCTCATCCAAAGCATTGGGAAGGTCTCTTTTGTTTCCAAGTACTAGAACCTGAAAAGAGAAGGTACTGTATTTATTTGTACCCAGTCTTCATGTGAAGGCAAGCTTACATTCTGTTTAAAACAAGATACTTACTTGCCCAATTTCGTGTAAACCAGAGCATAGAGGGAATAAATTGGTAGTGTGAAAGAACCAAAGTTTCAGGTTCTAGGCAGTTAAGCCTCAACAAGCTCAGGCTTTTATCTATTTGTAGACATAGTTTGAATTCAAACCAAACCTATGAAGAGACTTCAAAGGGACCCCACACTCTGGCGCCACTAGTCGTCCCATCAGATGCAGCACAGAAACTGTATGCAGAGGCAGTAAAGGAGCAAGATGTGAGCACACCAAGCAAGAAGCAAAACCAGAGGGCTCGCTTCCATAGCACCCTAGTCAGATTTGGTAAGTTTAGGTATATAGTGGGCTTCTTCAGTTAGCAGCATTCGCTAACTAAAACTTTTTGAACACAGATTGTCAAAACCTCTTAACAAGTTATTTTTAAGACTTTTCACATTAATAGCTTCCACTCTGGGAAACATTTGAATAGCCTTCATGTTTTGGGTATATTGCTGTAGTGTATTAGTTCTACTATGGAAACTTCAGACAAGGATTAATACAAGAGGGATGGAGCTCCCAGAAATGGCTGGGAGAGACTTCTGCCTAAACTCTGGAGAGCCACTGCCAGTCATTATAGATAACCAGGAGGTAGATGGACCAATAGTTTGATTCAGTAGAAGGTCAAAAGCATGCTTAAGAACATGGAACAGATGGAGCTGCAGAAGCTGAACACAAATGGAGTTTGACTGATTTGTGCACAAGGTAGAATTCCTTTCAAAACAAGTTAAAACCTTAAAAGTTTGTATGGGACGAAGGGCCAGATGTTTACAACTTACAGGGATTCCTTGTAGCTGTGGTTTGTCTAATAGATTGTGCAGCTCATTTCTAGAGGCTTCTATTTTTTCACGATCCGCAGCATCCACCATATACCTGTTAAAGGAGTTCAGTAAGTGACCACCGGGTTTATACAATATAAAACATTTGTGTAAGGCAATCCTATCTAAGCCAAAGTAACTCTAGCAAAATTGCTGGAGGTTATAAAATAGCTCACCAGTAACGAGTCAGTGCTGAGGACATATGCAACCTGGTAAAGCCATAGATATTAACCTTAGCAGTAGCTGCTGCAGTAGGCAACTAGGTAGATTAGAGACTCTGTGCTGCAGTGTGAACTAGATTGTGTTAGAGTATGAGCTAATGTTTGCAGTTTGCTGGTATCATGCTGGGAATCCCTGTGAGGGATTAAAGAACAATCAAGTGGATTCACAGGAAGTAGATATGCAAGTCTTATTTGTTAGAGAGATTGATAATGCTTTTGGGATCAGAGCATTCACTCGACTAGACATTCTCCTCTGCACTGTATGTTAAGAACATGCTTTTGCTTTTTTTCAATGTTTTACTTTCAATGTTTCAATGTTTTACTCTTATGCATTGGATGTTGCCTTGGAAGTCCAGTTAAAAGGTTTTTGTTCACAATTGCTTACAATAAATATAAGAAGAAGAGTTTGGTTCTGATATCCCGCTTTATCACTACCCGAAGGAGTCTCAAAGCGGCTAACATTCTCCTTTCCCTTCCTCCCCCACAACAAACACTCTGTGAGGTGAGTGGGACTGAGAGACTTCAGAGAAGTGTGACTAGCCCAAGGTCACCCAGCAGCTGCATGTGGAGGAGTGGAGACGCAAACCTGGTTCCCCAGATTACGAGACTACCGCTCTTAATTCACTACACCACACTGGCTCTCATCTAAACTAATTGTCAAGCTTTCATTGTCAAGCCATGGTATTGAGAAACTTCATTTTGAACAGCATCCACCATTTTTAGGGTATAGGACCCAGGTTTTTGTAGAAGTACTGTGTACCTATACAACACAGTCAGTTTTTTTAAATGACATACTTTCGTAGTGCTCTGAAAAGCACTTTCGACTAATTGTAATACATAATAATAGCAATAAGTAATAAATGCTACCAAGTGGTTAATGCATTTCCTTAGACAGTGAAATTTAACAGAGTTCAAATGGAAGAAAACCCAAGCTTGCACAGTTTGCAAGCACATAGCTAAACAGTTAAAGAGCAGAACTTAGCAGTAGAGTAACACACCTGAAGAACTAGGTACAACACAACAAATGCAGCCACAACCAAGTAATCACAAGATGTATATACTTACACAATAGCATTTACTCCTCTGCAGTAGCGTTCCCACATACTTCGGAATCGTGGCTGTCCTCCTATATCCCAGATCTTTTTTAAGAGACAAAATGGAGAATTATGTTTGGAGGCTGAATATAAAATTGCAATGACTAAACTCGATGTTATACAAGTCATAAAGGAAGCTATGTGGACCAAAAAACTGAAAGCATTTTGTCAGCCAGGAGGAGTAACAAAGCAGGTTTTCCACTAATATTGTTTTTACTGCAACATGAAATTTGTTGTGGGAGATGCTTACATCCGTAGAACGAATGACCCAAGTAACACAAACAGAGGACTAATCCCTAATTCACAGTTACAGTGACAAAACCTGATACAGGCAGCGACCTTTTTGAGTGTGTTTAATTGATGCGCAACCACCGACGCAGGTTTGTTTTGGACCTGGAGGCAGAAAGGGGCGGGCTTATGCGGGCTCCATCAACGCATGGGACAGCCAGGAAAGCAACCCCCACACAAATAGGGGGTTACCTGCATATGCTATCAACCCTCCTCCTATGCAGCATGAACAGCAGCAGCCGGTTTCAATGCTCTTTCTCTTTGTGGGCAGTTTGAAAGAGGTACAGCAGAGCTCCAAACCTTGCCACTCTGCTTTCCACCAAAATGTCCACTGGTGTGCTGAAAAGCTGCCCCACCTGCCCGTGAACCCTCAAGCATGAATCTTGCAGGCCCCACCTTAAGGAACAACTGGACTAATTGGGGTTGTGCATGTTCCCATTAACACTTTCCCAATAACTGCATGTCAGGGCAGCCAGGTCCTATTAAACACAGAAGTAAGACTGCACATTTAATCACCCAAGTTGCAGGAACCCATTGCCTGATTTCTTCTAACTACCCTAAAATGCATATAATCCTAAAAATTAGCTATCCTTCAATACTAGATATGGGGAACCTATGTCCCTCTGTATGTTGCTGACCACCACTGGCCATAGTGGCTGAGGCTGATGGGAGCTGAGAGCCCTACACAATATCTGGAGGGCTGCAAGTGCTGCATCCCTGCTTTATAATGTAATAATAATAGCAGCATCGGGGGGGGGGTGTCAACCAAGCTTACAGTTGTCTTGGTAGCCTTTTAAAAGTTATCAATTGCTTACAACCGACTATAGGCAGCTAGGATTCATATAAAGGTAAATGGACCCCTGAGCATTAGGTCCAGTCGTGGCTGACTCTGGGGTTGCGGCGCTCATCTCGGTACAGAAAGGGTTGTGGACCCCATTTGCTCCCCGTTCCAAACAGCATGACCAATGGGTCCAGGAATTATGGCAGTTTTCATCCAAGAAGCGCTGTAGGTCCACAGGTTCCTGAACACAGTTTTAAGGCATAGCTAAAGGTAAAGGGATCCTTGACCATTAGGTCCAGTTGCAGACAACTCTGGGGTTGTGGTGCTCATCTCACTTTATTGGCCAAGGGAGCCGGCATGCAGCTTCCGGGTCATGTAGCCAGCATGACTAAGCCGTTTCTGGCGAACCAGAGCAGCGCATAGAAACGCCGTTTACCTTCCCACCAGAGTGGTACCTATTTATCTACTTGCACTTTGACATGCTTTCGAACTGTTAGGTTGGCAGGAGCAGGGACCGAGCAACGGGAGCTCACCCCGTCGCGGGGATTCGAACCGCCGACCTTCTGATCGGCAAGTCCTAGGCTCTGTGGTTTAACCCAGATGTCCCTAGGATTCATAAAACAGCATAAATAACTTTCAAGCTCGAAACAGCATCAAGTGTTGCACACAGTGCCCCTCTATTACAAATTTTGAGCCCAGCAGACAATATTAATAGGATGATGGGTACGAGAAGCAGTCAGGGAATGAATGGGTGGTAGAATGGAAAGGTTTTATGCCCCCCAGGCTTGAACTGGTCTCCTTTCATCTGCTTCCTGAGAAGTGGTTAGCAGGACAATGCATTTGCCTTCATAAACTAGAAAAACGTACCTTTATTGTGACATTACCCTTGGTAACTTTCCGCATGTTGAAGCCCACTGTAGGAATCATATCCTCACTGAACTGACCTGACTGAAGAAAGGAAAGAGCACGGTCATTAGTAGGGGGCCGGCAAAGGATCTCTCAGGCAGCTTAATTAGCTGTGCTAAACATGTGCCTACATGTTTTCCCACTGATGCAAGAATCATGGTTGAAGTGCCAGAGAAAATTAAATCCGTAGGAGAGCTCTAACCAAGATTTCATGCTTCTTTCTAACATCCTTTTCAGAAGGAACAAGTTTGCAGTTGAGACAGTCAGTGAACAAAGATCACATGAGAGGCCATAAGCATCACCAATAGAGGGGAGGGGGGGAGGAGTAAGTCAGCATACGCTGAATCACATACAATGACCCCAAAGGGCCTCCAGATTTATGAAGGTAGCATAGGAAGAGTTCTCAAGCTTCCTAGCACTACCTGCAAGTTAAGCATGCCACTCCCAAAAACAATTTTCCTGCAATCACATTAAGAAACTATTAGTCAACTTGGACAGAATGTCTCATCTTTTTCAAGCGAGTTATCTACCAGTACTCCCAACTCCTTGGTGTGACAGGATAGTATCTGGAAGAACCTGAACAACGTATGCACATCATGAGAAGCTTTACTAGCATCAAATTGCATAATTTCTGAGTATTAAACTTGAAAGACTACTCTGGGATGTGTCTGAGCCTGAACAATCTGGGGAATATTTTTTCAAGGTAAGGTTTACTGTGCTGCAGATGGATTACTGCAGACCACGACTGAGCAACAATGCTGGAGTAGATTCAGATACCATGAGCTGTGTTTAACTCAACCCCAACACACACATAAAACTCACCTGCAAAAGATTACTTAGGCAAAGCCCTGTATATATTATTCTCCCTTCAAGTTGCCTGCTCTTTTGAGACTAAAGAATACAAAGCAAGGCTATCACCAAGCTCTTTGGCCATGAGTCTGGTATAATATACAGTGGTACTTAATTCGTTCCGGAGGTCCGTTCTTACCCTGAAACTGTTCTTAACCTGAAGCGCCACTTTAGCTAATGGGGCCTCCTGCTGCCGCCGCGCCACCAGAGCCCGATTTCTGTTCTCATCCTGAAGCAAAGTTCTTAACCTGAAGTGTATGTAACCTGAAGCGTATGTAACCCGAGGTACCACTGTACAGGAAAGGCCTGATCCAGTCAGTGCATTTCAAGTCCAGTCTTGATGTTACACTTAACACATTATTTTGTAAGATTGTGACTGGTATGTTTAGCTGCCACTCATCACTTCAGTTGTAGATTGTATGTTCTATATAGACAGACATATTTAAAAGCCATTTTACAGTGACGCAACGGGCCTTATCCCACATGAGACCACGGTAGCACCGCTAAAGCCATTTGTAAGTTTTTGCCCTTACCACTCAATGAACACTTGAAGTCCTGCACTGTGCTGTTTTAGAGCTTTCCTACCAATTTTATATTACTTACTGAAACACAGCTTGCTGTTCTTACAAGCACATCAAAGTAGTGAAGATTATACTATGATCACAATGCATTGAACATGTCCCTGTACCTTAAAAAAGCAAAGTAGAGCCACACAAAGAGTTTGCATTGATTCAATTTGCTGAGTTATGAACTACAAGCAAGTGCTGTTTAATTGTTTTTAATTGATAAATGTTTAAACAACCCTCTGCTCTTGTGTGACTGGCTATGGATAAATACCTTCTTTTAATTCAATCCAAGTGACAACACTTGGAGAGAGACACACATAGATTTGTTTTCTTCAAGTGTATCTTAGTATACCATCACTAGGAAAGGAGAACGCCAGATCTACGAAATACAAAGACGCATTGCAGGTTTCTTCACTTTCAAAGCCAATATTATTAAGCACAACCACAGAAAAACAAATGTTAGGGAGGTGCCTGTTCTGCAGTCAAACCGCTCAGCTAGACACCTGCCACTCAACGCACCACAAGTGAAACTGCATTGTACTAAACTATCACATGGGGGGGGGGGATATCCAAGGTGAAAAGCAGAAGATAGACTTCAAGTGATCCATGTCACAAATGAACATGAGCACCACATGAAGACTACTGAGGGCCACCCTCAAGAACAGTGTGCGATGCTGCAAGGAGGACTACTGATGGAAATTATACTCCTCCTTATCATGCAAATGGTAGTATCTTCTGCTCACACTAGTGACCTTTTGATCAGCTGGAAGTATATTGTTTTATAAGCTTTAGCCAGTAGCTTTCACAAGAAAAGCCAGAAATGTTATGTTATCTTCACTGTCAAGCTCTAAACTAGGGGTAGGTATTGCCCTCCGATCGAAAGGTCGGCGGTTCGAATCCCCGCGGCGGGGTGCGCTCCCGTTGTTCGGCCCCAGCACCTGCCAACCTAGCAGTTCGAAAGCACTCCCGGGTGCAAGTAGATAAATAGGGACCGCTTACCAGCAGGAAGGTAAACGGCGTTTCCGTGTGCAGCTCTGGCTCACCAGAGCAGCGATGTCACACTGGCCACGTGACCCGGAAGTGTCTTCGGACAGCGCTGGCCCCCGGCCTCTTGAGTGAGATGGGCGCACAACCCTAGAGTCTGTCAAGACTGGCCCGTACGGGCAGGGGTACCTTTACCTTTTTACCATAGCTCATGTTGTATGGACCTGTAGTCCACAACATCTGGAGGGCACAACATTGCCTACTCCTGCTCAAAAATGTGTGTGTGTGTGACAGAATTACAGTGGTACCTCGGGTTACGAACTTAATTTGTTTCGGAGGTCCATTCTTAACCTGAATCCATTCTTAACCTGAGGCGCTCTTTCACTAATGGGGCCTCCCGCTGCTGCCAGCGCACAATTTCCATTCTCATCCTGGGGCAAAGTTTGTAACCCAAGGTACTACTTCCAGGTTAGTGGAGTTTGTAACCCAAAGTGTTTGTAACCCGAGGTACCAATGTACAGTGGTACCTCGGGTTAAGTACTTAATTCGTTCTGGAGGTCCGTTCTTAACCTGAAACTGTTCTCATCCTGAAGCAGCACTTTAGCTAATGGGGCCTCCTGCTGCTGCTGCACTGCCGGAGCACGATTTCTGTTCTCATCCTGAAGCAAAGTTCTTAACCTGAAGCACTATTTCTGGGTTAGCGGAGTCTGTAACCTGAAGCGTATGTAACCTGAAGCGTATGTAACCTGAGGTACCACTGTATTTCTTTCCAGACTACAACCCACTTGGCAGTGCACTTGCAAAATGTGTTCAGCTCAGGTGACCCTTTCAACAGGTGATCCATTAACCAGAAACCTCCTGTACTGCAGGAGTGGAAAAAGCTTAACGTTGGCCGGCAAAGCAGTGAAGTCCAATGAGATCCTACTTCAACTTATATATAGTGTCACCAAATAAAGCAATCCTACAGGTAAGAACTACTGCTAAGGCCTGGAAACAATTATAAGAACAGGACTGGCAAGAATTAAGATGCCCAAATTTTACACTTACCAGTCTCTATTCTGCCATGGAGGGGGGGAAACACTGGGCATTTCTTTCCATTCCCTATTCTACTTTGCTAGCTTCTCCTTTGTGCTCTTAGTTGACAGCTCTACCACTTCCTCAGTTTAACCAAATGAAATAAAAGTCAAAGTGGTCATGAGTCTGTAATCCTACTCGTGACTAGGGAATCACCTGACTGTTTAGAAGCAGGCAGCTAGAGACCTATAATCTCTGAGATACTGGAAAATATACTCATGAACGTATTTTAAAACTGATGCTTCAAAGGAAGATTACAGCCAGGAAGTAACCTGAAACAACACTCATTAGATTTAGTGCTCCTTACACAGCTTTGTTATTTAGTATGATCCTATTTTATATGACCACTAAATTAAGGTTAAGTAAGGCTAAAGATACACACGCTACTACAATGATTTTGTAAACCTATTGTCCACCTACCAGTTAACTTACTGCTGTGCATGCTGCAAAATTTTATGCAGTAAAAATTATCTATGATACTAATTTTCTGAGTATTAAAAATTGAGAATCCTACACTTCTATAAGTTTACAGAATTATGGTGCAGTCCTGAGTGCAGAACACTAAATGCTTATTAAGAATGAGGTTAGCCCAAGTAAGTTTCCTATTATTGTATATAAAACCTCAGATTTAATAGTGATCCAGCTCCTCCCAAATTCTACAGTAAAACAGATATGAGTCTATCAAGTTTAAATCAAAGATGGACAAGCCAAGTACTTCTATGGTTTAAGTTTCTAAAATGATACATCAGGAATTTAAAATGAAGGTATTCACTTGAGATTCCTAGTTTTATATATATCAGTGCAAAATGATTAATTCCCAGAATATACAGGAGCCAACTTTATTTGTATTGCAAAATGAAACAAGTTAATTACAGTGGTACCTCGGGTTAAGTACTTAATTCATTCCGGAGGTCTGTTCTTAACCTGAAACTGTTCTTAACGTGAAACACCACTTTAGCTAATGGGGCCTCCTGCTGCCGCCTCGTCGCCGGAGCCTGATTTCTGTTCTTATCCTGAAGTAAAGTTCTTAACCTGAAGCACTATTTCTGGGTTAGCAGAGTGTGTAACCTGAAGCGTATGTAACCTGAAGCGTATGTAACCCGAGGTACCACTGTACATTGACTAGCTGAGGACAGAATGCTGGTAGATCAACCTACTTTGGCATTTTGGACTTTATATGGCAAAATGGGAATATTGTTATCTACAAAAGTAGGATTTACTATACTTTGGGATATATCCAATGCCACACACATCAAGTTCCAATTGCCCAATGGGATTCTCTCTTCTTCTCCCTCTTCTTCCAGCCCTCTGGAGCAGATTCTGAGGGGTTGCAGGAGAAAGGAGAGAGGAAAGCTTCACTGAGCAAGCAGAAGTCTGCTGCACTAGCAGAGCAAGTGTTGGATACACCCTTTTAAGCTCATGACAAAGCAGATTACTATTCCAAAGTAGTTAAACAAAACATACCAGTTTTGGAAGTATCGGAAGGAATACAGTTATTTCCATGTGTGATGAACTTGCTCAACTCCAAATAATTTTGCAATGAAAGATTTGGACCTGAGGTCTTTAACA